GATCGTTGATCAGGGTTCAGGCTGTGGGGACTCGGGGATTGCGTGTTATGCACTCACTCAACGAACAGCCGCTTCAAGACTAGACCGGATTTTGGGGGTGGTTGGTGGTTTTGGGCCAATCAGTCTTTCCACCTGGTGCGTTCCTCCTGCAAGACGACATTTTGCCTCAGGAACCTACATTGCGCCCAGACCCTGCTGTACTTCTCAGATGTCCCTAGTATGCCATTTTCGCCGGGCATTGAACGCTATTTGGCCAGGGCGTGCGCCCTGTGCCGCGCTAATGACAGCTATTGCTGATAGATCTCAACTTGGCAGGTCCGACGTCGCACCCTCCCAAGATCCCAAGTCTTCCGAAAGGCCGTGCCAATTGCTCGAGCTGACTTTGACTCATATCCTTTCTGCGAACTTCTGGAGCTGTGGTCTCCGCTGGGTTGGGTCCGTCCTGGCTGGAGCAGTAGCTGGCACACTGCTCAGTCCAGCTTTCTTTCTCGTACTGATGCTGGTTGATTTTACTGCAAGCGGTGTGGCGGCTGGATCCCTGGCTGCGTGCTACCACGCACGTCTTGGAACAGTGGCCACCGGATCCTGTTTCTCCTCCGCGCAGTCCGTTGCAGCAGGGGGAATGACAGCTTCATGCACCCCGTATTCTGTGTTGACAACATCCGTGATGGGCGCTGCGGTGGCATTGTACGTCATGTACATGCAGCATTGCTCATGGGTCAGTGATGTTTGCTGACATGGTGACTGGACCTGATGAGCGGCCACCATGCAAGTGCAGTCAAGCACGTTGCTGAAAGGCACACAGTGCCCATGGGTGCAGCATGCTTCTTCTCAATGCTGTTCCCAAGTCCCTACCTGTGTATTGCATGGGAATTACCGACGTGCTGCTGGCAAATGCCAGCTTAAGCATCCTATGTAGGGTAATCTAATCTGCTCATATCTGCTTGTCGCATAAGCCTTACTGCAATCCCTAAGCCCACGTGTAGTACCGTTTCTTCTCTTCTCGAGGTGGTGTTGGTGGTGCTGCTGCGTCGGCGCAGGCTGCCGGCACTTCCGCGCCGCCCCAGGCGGATGGACGGTGTGGAGATTTCTGAAAGTATCTAACTGGCGCGAAGACAGACCCGAACGCAAAGGGTTCTGAGCAACCTCCCGCGGTTTCTGATGTATGTATGCTGAGGATTTTCAGTCAGAGCGCTCTGCCTCCGCCTGCGTTCCTTTTCGAAAGGGAAGACAACGGGACGATGTGTACAGTAGCCGTCAAGGAGAATCTAAGGTGACATCTCAAACATATTTTTGGCCTACAGTGACGAAGCCCTTCCTTGTGCTCTAGGGTACTCAGGCAACATTCGTGGGCTACCTTCTCTACAGGAGCGTTAAGCCACACAGAGGTTGTTTTAATGGCCAGAGGATCCAAAAGAGAGTTGCCTGGAAAGAGCAGGATCGCTCGATTGCACTGCCGAAAGGCAGAACCCTCGCAGGCTTTGCATGAACAGCCCTATGAAAGGGCGAGTATTGTCCCGAGCTCTAAGGAAAGCTGCTCTGCCAGATACAGATCCAGCAGAATGCACCATGCTCCCCCTCAAAATCCAATTGCACGTTGAAGTGAAGCACCCATACCAACTCCACGCATCAACCTCACGAGAATCGACCAGTGATGTGGCGAGTGTCGGTTTCGCATGGCTAAGCTTGTGTTGCTGATTGCAGCAGTGAATGACAGTACGGGCTCATGAACCACGAGTCTGAACAGAACACTCATCTAAAGCCCCGAGCCCAACACTCTAAGTGACACTAGTTTGCCAGGCGTCACCTTCAACTGCCTTTGTTTCAACACGTACTTGAACTCGTGCCGCTGGCAAAGTTAAGGTTTGTAGATGTTTAGGGTTGAGGCTTCAGGTTTCAGGCTCCTTTCTTTCACGTCCACTACTTCCAGGCCTCAGGGCTTATCGGAGATTGATTCTTCATGGGGTGTACAGGGAAAGGCCAGGCTCTGAAACCCGGACAGCGCCATGTTTCTTGAAGCTCCGAGCACGTGTGTATCTCAAACGCAATTCTCTTCCTGGACTGAATAGGTATACCATGGTATACCCATGTCCTGAGTTGGGTAGCGTTGCTCCCTGCGACATCAGTATGTGAATGGGGTTCCACCCGCTTTTCAGGGCCACGGGGCAAGCCCGGCTGGTTTGCCGGTGTCAATCACAGCCCATGATCAGCCCCTGCGTGAAGTCCTTACGGGACTGTTGAAGGTCACACGACTTGGAACCTTCAGACTTTTCCGGCAGGTTCGCAGCATGCCAAGAGATTGCTACCCAACCAACGTATCGAAAATGTGCATGCCCAGAAGGGCCAGGAATGGCATTACATGGTCAAAGCCTGAGCACCCGACCCACATTCCTGACGCATCAGGACGCCTTGCCGCGAGAAGGACACCCGCTTCTGCAGTGGCACGGTGGACGAGCGCCCCAGCAGCCGAGGGTTTCGTTCGGTTTGAGGAATGAGGGTTGATTTTTCTACTTAAGGGTTATGTAGAGTTTCGGATTATGGGTTATGGTTTCCTATATAGGGACTAGGATTAGGCTGTATTTCCGGGTCGGGGCTCAAGAGTCCAAGTTTTGATCCTGGTGTCTTGTTTGTCGGCGATCCATCTTTCTGTTTGGCCTTCTCGTGCCGTCCGGGTCTAGATTTGGGATGGGGCTTGGGGTTTAATTGCTTTAGTGCTTGGGGATCTAGGGCTGCGAAGCCGGGTGTGCTCCAGAGTTTCTTCTTTGGGTTTTTTTGGAAACTGTTCAGTACATGGCGAGCGCATCCATCTCCACCAGACGGATCCACACAATGGATGATGTCAGATTTTCGCTGCACTATGCTTCATGACTTGCTAAGGCCCCAGTGGCTCGGAGCAGCTGCGGCCACGGGCTTCCCTAAATCCTTGCTCCTACACCTCAGACCTGGATTGCCTCTCGGGTCATTCCATGCTCGGTCACCTCGAAGCCTAAAGCTCAGAAGCCGTAGGATCCCCATATGAAGCCCGCGGCGCAAACCCAATGTCCTCGACCTTCTGCAGGGGCCTGGGTTTATAGCTTCGGGCTTCAGTCCTGCCCAACAGCCTTCACTTCTGAAGCTCAAGTCTTGAACTATCCCCTAGTCTTAGCAAGAACTGCCGACATGGCCGAAGGTGCTGTTGCTGTGTCTGCTTTTGCCGCGGGCCCGCGCAGCAAGGCCGAGATGAGTCATACCTTTATGCTGCCGGTGGTGCCGGTAGTGATGGTGGCGGTGGTGGGTGGTGATGGTGGTGGTGTCTTTCTATTACTACTACCACTACCACTGCTACTGCTACTACTACTACTACTACTACTACTACTACTACTCCTACTGCTACTGCTACTGCTACTGCTACTACTACTACTACTACTGCTACCACTACTCCTGCTACTACTACTACTACTACTACTACTACTACTGCTACCACTACTCCTGCTGCTACTACTACTAC